ATGGTTGTGTTGTTCGAGTTTAGCTGACTGTGCAGAAATCGTACGCATTGCTCTCGGTAGCTGCGATTCTTAGGTATGTGACGTTAAGCTTGTTATATAGTGAATGCGGCTGTGTGCGTTGACGTGTGGTAATAAGGATGCTTTGTGTTTGGCAGATGCAAATAATTTTATATGTTATCGTAACTGCAACACCGATGTATGACGTAGTTGTTATATCATGGGTATCGTCCCTAGAATTTACAAGTGAATGGTACCTCGCGAAAACACCGACTGCAATTCTTGAATGATATGGATCTCAATGGGAATAATTACAAGGCCTTTTTAATTGTGGTCTTTTTCAAATTAGAAGATTGAGCATTTCTCTTCGCCGTATAAGCTCTGTCCACCTCTTCGTGTATACGCCGGGTCACAAAATGGCTGTAGAATTGTAATCTGCCGCATACAAGATTGTGCGAAAAAATTGCATTCGTATAGCCTTTGAAGTTAACCACGCTATATCTGTAAGAACTAACTACCTGGATCCGTCTGTATTTTGAAGGTGCTTGCTATATATATATATATATATATATATATATATATATATATATATATATATATATAATTAGTTTTCACCCTCGCTTGCGCTTTCTATCGTCGTCTTTTTCTCTCTTGAGACATCAAGTGTATTCCCCTAATTCGTAAATGGTCAAATGATTATGGAATGTCTGGTGAAGAATGCGCGCATATTTCCTCTCGTCAAATTTTCGAACGTCTTGTTTCCTCTCGCGCAGTCGGGCATAATCAAGCTGTTCGCTGACTATACGGTTGGCTTCTGGCGAGGCGCCTCCGAAAACGGAGTGAAGACATAACGTGAGCGACATTCAATGCTTAGTCGTCGGAAGGAATCTCGGGTACTGCGCTGTGCAGCAGGTATACTGCCACGTGTTTCGTTGTCGCAGCTCGCGCAGAGCCAGCATTTTCTTTTTTTCTCTCTTTTTTTTCGAAATGTACATACTAAACTGAATAGACCAGAACGCAAATTTAAGCTTCAAGCTAACTTTGAACATCTCTTCCGAGAGCCAGACTTTCTTTTTTCTGATCGATGTTGGGGAAAATTTTTCAACCCAAGTCCATTACGACATCGCGTGCGTCTGGCCGTTTAAAGAAACGTGCTGTACGTTCACGCAGGCCGAAGACGCGCCACTTCCAAGACGGCCCCGCGCAGCGCAGGCATGACCATCCGAAGATTGCTTCAAGTCACTTCTCGCTAGCTCGTTGCAAAAAGAACAAAAAAAGAACACAAAGAAAAGCGCCCTTGTATACCACCATGCACGGCAGCAGAATCCGCCGTTTCGCGAGAGCTGTCATCGAGAAATTATAGCGCGGCGTTTGTTTCGAACGCAATAGTGAGAAGTTCCTTTGATAAAAGAGAATCGGAACGCGTTCGTAGGCGCGCGCGTGGTAGCGGCTCGTTTGCAGCGGTGTGCGCGGCGCATTCTTTATTAATTCATTCTGAAAGCCTTCGCCCGTGCTTTCCTCATTTGTGCGTGGAACCACTCCGCCAATCTCTCGCGCCCTAGTTTTGACGCTTGGCGTCGCCTTTCGGCGACTTCGACCGTCGTCCTATTAGCGCTCTCGAAAAAGTGCCACAGTTGGTCGCAAAGCAGGCGTGTTTGTTTTCTTGAAGCTTTTCTCTGTTCCCGAAGGAGCCAGAGAGTTGGGGCGCAGAGCACTTTCAGACGCGCCGTCGGGAATCTTCGTGGCGCGTTTCTTGTTTCGCAACGGTAGGCGGAACACGACGCGCCTCTTCCGAGGGAGATGAGAGCGCGGGCGTCTGCAACTTTGGCGGCAGAGCGCCACGGGAAAGTGCCGCTACGTGCGTCCTCCCGCGTGCTATAGTGCGCTTCGACGCTTTTCCGCCAGTTTTGTCGCGCCCTGTCTGCGGCTGCATGCATGCTCGCTCGCTTGCGTCAACCAGTCGTCGCGTCATTTACGGTCCCGGCGTACATTTTTGTTTTTTTTCGTAGATTCCATATTCGCAGTCTCCATATGTATCTCTCTCTTCATGTATACGTGGCGTGTCTGGTTGGTATTATTTGCTGACGCGTTTTTGTACAGTGTCTCGGTGGTGTTGCGACGATTCCGGTATATAATTTATCCTGTATGTCGCAGTCGCCCCCTTTCGGTTGTGTATAAGTTGCAATGAACAAGGTGCGCACGTTACTCACCTTTGTCTGAGTGATCGTGTTGGTGTCACCCACGTGCAAGCAGAACGTCCACAAGAAACCTGTGGTTTCAGCTCACGCGGAAAGAACTATGTTTTTTTTTTTTTTGGATGGGGTGATAGACAATAACGGATAGTAATGTACGGGACTGGCACGTGTGCTTTTTGGTGTCTACCGTTTTTTTATTTTTTTTTATTTTCACTCCCTTTATAAACTCTGACGTTTGCAATGAACGCTTAGTTGAAGTTAAACGCTTGTGTTGTGTGTTCTTTGTAATAGCGGCTGCGCTTCCTAGCAAGATGGGCAAACAAAACTTAAAAACCTAGCGCAAAGCTTCATTGTCAATGACGACAGGCTTACATGTGATTTGGTGGCGAACCTCTACCTTCGTCTCGTTGTGAGGCAGTTCTTTTGACGTAATTCCTGGTTCGTATCCCGGCTGCGGTGGCTGCATTTCCGATGGAGGCGGAAATGTTGTGGGCCTGTGTGCTCAGATTTGGGTGCACGTTAAAGAACCCCAGGTGGTCGAAATTTCCGGAGCCCTCCACTACGGCGTCTCTCGTAATCAAATGGTGGTTTTGGGACGTTAAACCCCACATATCAATCAATCAATCAGTCAATTGACGTAATTACTGTCAATGTAATAATTAGGTAATCACAGTAACGTGTACAGGGTTTTACACACTCGTCTGATATTGTTATGCCCCGATTGATTTCTATCAAAGCAGACACATGCAAGAAGTTATAGTAGTGGCAGCAATACTACAGTAGTACACTGTAGCAATACGATTCGGACACAAGCCTCCAACATGGTGCCGAAGCGGTAGGATCGTCGAACCTCTGACAGATGGCAGGAATTTTGCATAAGTGATCACTAGGGAAGCTGTAAGGGACGTGGCCAGACAATACTGGCGTGGATTCCTATTCCTTTATTATGCATTTTCGCGCTCGTATTTGCTTACGTGCGCGTTTTATGTGTAGATGCATGCCACATATGAAAACTACGGGTATAGTGGAGGATGTAGTTGCTCTCCCCCGTGTTGGAGGGTGTCCGACGTCTGACCCCGTCCACCTATTAGCACCCCCCCCCCCCCCCTTGTGCTTTCTTCGGACCAATGAAAGCTGAGGATAGCACGTGTATCTATGCTGAATCAATCTGCGGAATCGCGTCGCCAAATGCTTTCATAGTCTCTTCACCGAAGTCTTGAAATCCTGCCTTCGCACTGGAGGGCGTTCTTTCGAACGGATTCTTCCAAGTTCAATATTGTAGCGGATATACGATGCATGCAACATGAGAGTATCGCTCTCGTGCTAGAAAGCAGAGCGCCCACCCTATCCTGCAGATTGGGAGCTAATATTCCTACATAGCAATATCCTGCATAAACGTGCTGAAGAGCTACATTTCAAAAACCTGCCTCCATTTTTTTCTTCTTGTTTTGTATTCCTGGTCTGTGAAAGTGGTGTTGCATGTCTACACAGTGTTCATACTTTAAGTGTGTGGGCGTCGAGGGTGAATAAACATTATCCGTAACTGCAGCATCATTCCTAAACTGATTAATAGTATATATATATATATATATATATATATATATATATATATATATATATATATATATATATATATACCACGTGCATTTCTAACAGCTGTTTTATTGTGTATTGCAGTTAGGACCCCTTTCTCCGCCGTTCTCTCGCCGCGCCGCTAAACTGATTAATAGTAATGAGAACCAATAATTCTTTAATTATATATATATATATATATATATATATATATATATATATATCGAAATCTAACCGACAATAATGCCAAAAAAGTATAGGAGAAGTTATTATGCCAATTGTAATGTAAATGTGAAGAAAAAGAAAAGTGGGTGAAAAGATGACTTGCCGTGGGCAGGATCCGAACCTGCGACCTTCGAATAACGCGTTCGATGCTCTACCACTGAGTTATGACAGCCATTCCCCCAGCCACTTTATTGGGTATCTATTTGAATTTAAACGTGGGAGTGTCAGTCAGCGCCACCTGAAGCCATAAAGGTGAGTGTGGCACACTCTTTATGAGGCTGTTTGGCATCACGTAGCACGTGAACGTATTACTAACTGGCAGCTGACCAATTGTCCCTCGTATACAACCTAAAGGTACCAAGTCTGCCAGTACGAGACCCTCGTTAATCAATAAACGAAACAAGTGTATACTTAAGAGCTCGTTTTTTCGTGTTTAGACACAATATCAATGAGATCTAATAGACAATAATGCCGAGGAAAGTATAGGGGAAGTTATTAGGTGAATTGTAATATAAATGTCATGAAATGAGCCAAACAAGCTCCTAAAGAGTGCCACACTTGCCATCGTGGCTACTAGTTGCGCTGACTGACACTCCCACGTTTAAATTCAAGTAGATACCCAATAAAGTGGCTGGGGGGATAGCTGTCGTGATAGCAACGCGTTATTGGACAATGGCAGGTTAGGATCCTGCCCACGGCAAGTTATCTTTTCACCCACTTTTCTTTCTTCACATTCACATTACAATTCGGTGTAATAACTTCCCCTATACTTTCTTTTCATTATTTTCTGTTATATAATATATATATATATATATTATATATATATATATATATATATATATATATATATAACAGAAAACAAAGTGTGCGTAGATATGTGTACACATAACGACTTTTCTAGTTTCGGCCTCATGCGTCTTTAACAGAGATCAGCCCAACTAAGCGTATCAATGTTAATGTTTGTGCCGCTCACAAATATTCCTTTGCCTCTCCTTTCTTCCTTTTGTGCAGTTGTGCCTGTGCCCCTTTTCGAATGCGGCCTGGAACCATAAGTGCCGAAATACGGTGAGTGCATGCACGACCAGTTGCTTGCGCGTTCTTCCCGGATATAACAGTGGTTGCGCTGAATTCTCATTACTTTAATTGTGTATGTAATCGGTGCGTGATATTTATACCTGTGGATGCAGGCGTACGGAGTATTTTTAAAACGTGTTATACATTGCCGACGCTGGAATTCACATCTTCGCTTTGCTCTTCAGTGGAGAATAATTATGTAAGGCAAGAACAACAGCAGCAAAATTTGTGCGTAATAAACTGAGAAGCAGTGACTTTCGAAATGAGCGTGTATCAATATTGTTACAAATTTAAATCATTAAAAAAACGGCAATCAGTGGCACGACTAGTGTGCGCAATTGGTCGAGATAATACGCCGGTATGATTAGAATTCAAGACGGTTTAAACAAATGTTCGTGCTTTAATACTTCGTTCTCAACTTTCGTACTTCAATCCTCGAGCTCTGTGCAACTGCGAAATGCGTCTGCGTGCGCGCTTAGCAGGCGACCACTTATGCCTATCCCGAGTGGTGAGAATATCAAAGCCTCTTGCCGCGCAAGTGCACAGCTTTCCCGAAGTTGTGCGTTTGCGCTGTAGTAACGCTGCAAAATGTCTGATTGCTATAAACCAGTCTTTTTTTTCTTGCACCTTCGTTTACAGTCGAAGCGCACGTTACATGAGCCCCAGTTATTACCTATCGATGCCTCCTGCATCTGCAGGGGGCCATGGTTTCAGTGACGTCACAGCTTGTTATGCCAGCGAGTCCTCGTCAAACGACCGTGCCTCTGAAAAAGGCAATCTGGGTCAAGGCCAGCCCGCCGTCTGCCCGACGCGAACATCTCAACGGCGTGAACACGCGCGGCGCCTCTCTCGCCCACGTGCATTGAGTCATCGGCGCACGTGACAGCGAGCCGGCGTTCTCGTGCCTGGTGGTCTGACGCATGGCGCGGCGACCCCCATTGGCGGAATCTGCCCGGACGACCAGCGGCGCTTCTGATTGGACCTGTTGGTTGGACCCGGTGTAAATAAAAGAAGCCCTGCGGCGCGTCGCGATCGGCGTTCCTATGAGCGAGGAGACCCCATGTCGGAGGGCCGACATGTATGCGAGTCAGCGGTCTTAGGCGAAAGGCTGAACTATGTGTTAGAGAGAAGAGCTCGGCTCTTCGAGTCTCTGTCGGCCCCAGTGCCGAAATTGTAACGCCTCTGTATATATGCTGTACATAAACCTTGTTTAACTCACCGTCGTCTCGTCCGCTCGTCTTATCAGCTCTGCGCAGAAGCAGTCGCGAGCTGATAAACATACGCTACCAAACGGCTGGCGACCTTCCCGGCGGAGTTGAAAGCAGTGGCGCCTTCGGCACCGTGTTGGCGTCGCCGTCTTTCGCAACAGTGGTGGCTTCGGCGGGATCGGTCCGTCGTTCGCAACAGTGGAGGTCAGCGGCGGGATTTCGGAGGTGGCTTCACAACAGTGGTTGGCAGCTGCGGGATCGGCCGGCGTCAGCGACATCGATGCGGTGAGTGCCTGACGTTTTCCCCTCAGTTCACCAGACTACTCTAGCTCAGGTTGTAGTAGTTTAGAGAAGGGCTGTGTGAAGCATTCGAGTGAGCTTTGATCGTTTCAAGCCAAGTTGAAGTGCTTTGAAACCAAAGTTAATGCGGAGGTGGTAAACACGGGAGAGTGAAAAGTTGCTTGCGCGTCTTGCTAGTTGACTTATAGTGGGTACGGCAAGTAGATTCTTAACAGGGGCAAACAGCAAGAGGCTAGTGTGAACGATGGAGAACCTTAAAGTGAAGGAACTCATCGAAATTTGTGAGGAACTCGGCATTACTTTGGGCCGTGCGAAACGAAAGCAAGCGATCCTTGAGATCATGAAGGATGAGGGAGTGTCGGCTGAGGAAGTCGATGAGGCCTGGGCGGATATCAAAGCACGCCGCGAGGAGGCCGAAATGCGAGAAGTTCGTGAACGTGAGGTAGCCGAGAGACAGGAGCGTCTCGAGTTGAAACGACTAGAATTGGCAATCCTACAGTGTTCGCAGGCGCCTAGCGTAGCTTCTCCGACGATTCAGGTCAGCGGTTTTAGAATTCGGGACCAACTGCCACCGTTCGTAGTAGGCGAGGACATGGCGAAGTATCTCGTCAAGTTTGAACACGTCTGTGAGCGAAACGCTTTGGAGCGGTCTCTTTGGGCGCGGAACCTGCTAGCTCTTCTTCCCGGCGAAGTGTCCGACGCGATAACTTGCTTGTCGAGGGAAGCGTTTGAGAGCTATGACGAGGTTAAGGAAGTGCTCTTGAGACGTTATAAGTTGTCACCCGAGGCTTTCAGGCAAAGGTTCCGGTATGCTGAAAAGGGGAATGAGTCACACGTTGACTTCGCGTTTCGTCTTAAAGCCGATTTGATTGAATGGCTTAAGGGCGAAGGTGTTTATGACGACCGCGATAAAGTGGTGGAATGCGTTGCATTGGAGCAATTCTACCGCTGCATCGAGGAGGATGTCAAACTTTGGCTGCAGGACAGACTTGGGGACGTACAGTTAAACAAGGCAGCTGAGTTAGCTGAGGAGTATTATACTCGCCGAAAGTTGCATAGCAGGGCAGCTCGCGTTGAAAAGGATGAAAGGAAAGAGGGCTTTTCAAGGAAACCTGATCAACGGAAACCCGCTCCGCACCGTAATTTCAAGAAGGACCCGTCTCTTACGAAGGACAGTGTAGGGGAAGGGCAAACAGAAGCGGAGAAATCGAGTGAGGTTTCTACCACACAGGCATTAGAACCGGAAAACAAACGGAAGCCGCTAATCTGCTACAACTGTAAAAAGGAAGGGCACATCGCGAGAAACTGTCAGGAAAAGTTTGCCTTCGCAACGATCCGAGAATCAGAAAAAAAACATGCGGTTGTTGGAGCCGTATCTCCAAGAAATTAGGGTCAATGAGAGAAACGTGCCGAGCACTTAGAGACTCAGCGGCAACCATGGACGTTGTCCATCCTTCATTGGTGTCTCCGGATGACTTCACAGGAGAATGCGCGTGGATCAGGCAAGTCGCCGAGGAGCAGAGTGTTCGCTTACCAATCGCCACCGTTGTCATTGAAGGCCCGTTCGGTAAGCTTTGCACCGAAGCGGCTGTGTCTGCCGCGCTGAATGGTCGTTTTCCTTATCTCTTCTCCAACAACTCGGAGCAGCTTCTCAAAGAGCAGGGCAAATCGTTCTTCCCCTACTTAGCGTGCATGGCTCCCACGCGATCGCAAGCGCGAAAGCTTTCGCGGAAGCTTGACTTGGTTCCATGCGGTGAACTCTCAAGTGACCTTGTCGGCGGGTCGACGGAACCCCAGAAAGGAAATTTTCCGCATGAGTCATGTGAGCAGTCACGCGAGCGGCCCGTCGCGGGAGCGGCCGGCGCGGTATGCGCTGGGGGAGACGACGTGGCGCCATTGAGTCAGAGCGAGAGGGTTGCAACGCTCTCGCCTGTAGCGGAAAGTTGGAGCGAGCTGCCGAGAGTTGATCGAGAGACGCTCATTCGAGGGCAGAGTGAGGATCTCTCGATTGAAGCGCTAGTGGAAAGCCAAATTGAAGCGCTCGTGGAAAGCCAGAAAAAACGCGGCAAAAGTGCTGTCGAAGGAGCACTACGAGAAATCGGGGAAGAAGCGCGCTTTTGAAGTTGATAATCAGGTAATGCGGCGGCAGCCACCCAAAAGGACAAGCTTGAGGTTGATTGGGAAGGGCCCGCCACAGTATTATCGAAGCCTTGCGATACAACTTATGAGGTGCAAGTAGGAAGGCGGCAGAACAAAATTTACAACTTGATGAAACCGAATGTTCAACATCAAGCGGTCGTAAATCAGCTGTTGAAGGCTTCAGAGGAAGAGGAAGCAGAAAATTTGAGTTCTAGTGAGGTGATCGAAGGGAGATCGAAAGTAATTTGGGAGCAGATAAACCTAGAGCCTAGCTTAAGTGAAGGAGGACCTGAGAAAGAGGACCTGAGAAAGATTGGTTCCGAGTTTGAAGACGTGTTTTCGGACCGCCCCGGAAACATGAGGGTGATCGAACACGATATCGAGCGAAGCGGTGAGGAGTCAATCAGTAGCAAGCCGTATCGTTGTTCCCTGTGCAACGTCGCAAGTGTGAGCCGCTCTTGGTGCCGCATAGGTATCGTCGCCTAAAAGTGGCCGGTTACTGAAGTGGAGCATGTTGCTCCACAGCGCAACTTTGACGTTCGCTATAAAAAAAAAATAAAGGAAAGGTAAACGCTAATGCAGGTGCATTGAGCAGTGCGTTCCAGCTAGTAACTTCTCAACCTTTCGGTTTCTGGCTGGCGATTCGGGGCAAAATTTTGACCTCATCACGACCTGGGCTGAGCGCTCTCGTTCAGAGTGATCTCAAGGGGCCAACTTTATGTGGTATTCTAATTCGTTGCGGGGTTGTAATTGTGAAAAATTCAAGTTCTTACTTTAGGAGTCTTTTGTCCCACATGTGCCTCTTGATGTAGAGGGAACGAAATTCCGATAGACACGTAGATAGGTATATGTTGTTCTATACTTTGTCTGGTGTTCTGTTGGGTGACCGAGGGCACTTGCTTGTGTCGTGTGTTGTCTGTTGTCGAACCGTTCTTAGCAAGTTGCAGAACCATCGACAAGTGCTGAACCCGAAGATGGTCAGAAGAGACGAGTGAAGCTGGTCAGCAAGTTGTGGCGACAAGCCAGTGGAGCTGGGATCCGTCGTCAAAAATGGGATGTGTTCCCGGACCAGTCTGGAGCTGTATTCTCCCCCTGGCCCTGGAGGCGAACCTGGAGGGACCAGGCGAACGAGCGCACCTGACATCCGAGCCCCGTGGAAGCAGCTCGTCTTTCCGGTGCATTGTCTGGCGGCGGGGGTGCTGTTATGCCAGCGAGTCCTCGTCAAACGACCGTGCCTCTGAAAAAGGCAATCTGGGTCAAGGCCAGCCCGCCGTCTGCCCGACGCGAACATCTCAACGGCGTGAACACGCGCGGCGCCTCTCTCGCCCACGTGCATTGAGTCAT